TGTTCCCACAGGACCGATCACCGATGGCCAATCGTTCCTTTCTACTTTGCCAAAGGTGGCTCAAAAATGTCTTCCGTAGTCTGTCTGTCCTAACGATATCCCCTCCCGCCTTTTCATCCCACCTTTTATGCCCCACTACAGCTACCGTCCTTTCCTCTCTATTCCATGCCTCAATCATCTCCCTGTACGTCCCATCTATTTTTCCCAGCTCAGTCACGTACACGTCCCTCTCCTTCTTGTACAACGGACATTCCGCGACTACATGAACACGGTCTTCGCATTTGAAGCCGCAATCACATTTGAACTCGTCGTCTTCGTCGTCTACCGTCCTATGTCTTCGTCGACGTTCTCGAAGGCCTATGTCCCCGGTCCTGAATTTGACCTTGAGCTTTGTTCCTGCATCCATTGGTCCATGTAGGTAGTCATTGAACCCTATTCCTTCCTTCAACATTCCGTACACTTCCAGACCCTCCTTATCCTTGGATTCTTTCCTTAGATTCTGTTCTTCTCTCTAGGCACAACCAACAGATGTCATCTACTTGAACCCCTGTAGACCTTCCGTTTCCAGCGTTTCATCTTCGTCGATGTCGAGCCCCTTCCATACGTCCTCTGCAACCTTGACCCATTCCGTGGGTTGGATACCCCTCTTTTTGTTTGCCCACTTCGCCTCCCATACAATTCTCGGCAACCTCTCCTCTCCCATCCCGCACATGCGATACTGCCAGGTCAGCTTCCTCGCGTCTCTTCCCGACCGTAGGGATTGGATCCCCAATTCTGCCCTCACGGCTGCATTACTTGTGCGCNTCCTCTACAACCTTGACCCATTCCGTGGGTTGTCTACCCCTCTTTTTGTTTGCCCACTTCGCCTCCCATACAATTCTCGGCAACCTCTCCTCTCCCATCCCGCACATGCGAAACTGCCATGTCAGCTTCCTCGCGACTCTTCCCGACCGTAAGGGGGGGGGGGGGGGTACTCATAGTCGTGCATGCCGCAGTCGTTAGACCATTGACCTCGCATCCCTACAAAGCCGGGACGGAGCACGCCGGGTTCTCACCGGACCAGGCTCTCACATCACCAAGCGCGAAGCGCCGTGAGGTATTCGGCGAGTCGCATGAAGGGTGCGCTGCATCCTGCTAAGGGTGTTCGGCATCTTGTGCTTACTCCCTTGCATACGGATGACAGCTGCGTATGGCCTAATTTATTTTCTGGTGCTTTCCCTTCCTGAGATAGTTGTAAGCACTGTGTAACTGCCTCGAGGGTCAAACATTTTAACACAACGTGGTGTCCCCCTTGCGCGGAGTGAGGCTTCTCGACCCCGCACAACATGATCTACATGACCACCATTATGGTTACCGCCGAAAATAGACAGAGGAAAAAAAAAAGCAAAGGTAACCTGGTTGCCGAGTTCACGAAGTGCATTGCCTTGTTTTACAACGTGGTTGCCAAGCGACAAAAACCCAATCCCGATGGCAAACACCG